ATATATATATACACAAACACACACACACACATATATATATATATACATATATATATGCATATATATATATATAAATATAAATATAAATATATCTTCTATATATATATATATATATATATGTGTGTGTGTGTTTGCATGTGTGCGCGTGTGTGTGCAAATGACGTTATTGGTGTAGTCCCGTTACTAGTCTCTAGAAGTAAATTAAAACGTAAATAGATCAGATACAACATAACAGTGGCAAAAGTTGTAAACCGACTATAACTTACAATTTAGCACTGCAGCGCAGATGTAGAACGCACACCTATGGAGGCCTTGCATGTCCGAGCTACGACAATCGCACAACAGAAAGATATCGCTAAACGTTCTGTCCCCATATATATACATATATCTATATATATATATATATATATATATATATATATATAGTATATATATATATATATGTGTGTGTGTGGGTGTGTGTGTGTACACATCAATCTACACGTAAAGATTACGATATCGCGACATACTCTAGCGATGCCAATCACATCTCGGCCGCTCATGATCGCTGGGATTGTCTGAGCCTGAATGGGCATGGGCTTGTCGTAGCCATTCTTCTTTATGACATTCATAATTCGCGAGCTGTGGGTAGAAGACGGTATAAGAGCATGCGTACATACTATTTTTAGCCAGATATCGAATGATATATAATGGATCAGTATGTGTTGTAATGTGGGTTCATTTTATGGGCATTAAGATACAATTCAATAGCGAGATCAGGCGGTTTCTTCGGCTCGTGAGAGTGGTGGAGGGCAAACTAATGCATACCTACGAAGAGCTGCCATAGCTCATCGGTGAAGATGAGCATATGAGTTTCGAGATCAATGGAAGATACGAGAGTTATAGATATAACCTGTACGTCACAATAAAAGGTATCTCCTCGTTCACCGAAATTTCAATCAATCAAATTGAGTCTGGATAGGATGGGTTTGACGTAGCCATTCTTCTTCGTGACATTCATTATAATTGTGTAAAATAGGCCACAATAAATGGCATCTCTCAACAAAGCAATCAAATACAAGATATAAATATAAGTAAAAATAAAAATATAAACTTGAAAATAAATGTAAATGTATATATATATATATATATATATATATATATATATATATATATAAATATATATATACATATACATATATATACAATAGTTACCTCCACAACATACATCGAGCGATGAACACATACTACTCAGCGGACACAGTTCAATACAGTATCGAAATATTTCCTCTTGCCGCACTAATAAGCAATGAGAGGTAAAATAAACCGTACACAGGTCTACAACCAAAACCATTGTATAACTTTACATACCTGACTCCACACTGAGCCCAATTACTAACAGGGCGAGGGCAGTCCTTGCCCTTCACTCGGGTGTTATCCATTTCCACTCTACGTTTGAACACATCGTCCTCGCTCATCTTCTTCAGCTCTGTATGAATATTGTGTCGTTGGTAGGCACATAAATGAATGCAATTATCTATAGGTATATACGAATATATATATACATATTTAGATATAAATATGTATATATAACTATGGGTATATATATATATATATATATACGCCCTTTTCTATCAAATTTCTATCACATACATGAACACATACACACGCAACTGTGCGTCTGTACACACACCTGGCACCTCAACATAGAAGGCCTTTCGAAACTCCAGGGCTGGTAGTTTTGAGTAATCCACCTTCACAATGTCCTTCTGCTTCACTGCCACCACAACCTCTTCTTCCTCCTCCTCGGATGAGTATTCGATGGCATCCTCATCGTTGTACACTCGCTCTCCGCGCTTGGACTTCTTCTTGGGCTGAGATGTGTGCCATGGAGAGTGAAGGAAGTTTATATACCGGGAGTGACTACGGTAGATTGTTAGAAGGGTTCGGCCAAACCCTCAATCCTAGACCCTAAAACTACATGTGAGTTGTTACGAGGCGCAGAGTGAGTGAATGGGCCAAGGTAAATTGATACGTATATAGCGTTATGGACTATCTCTCTCGTTCTCCCATGCTTGCGATGTGGCAGCGTATAGGTGCGATAGAAGAGTGGGTGAACACTTCAGCGGAGATTATATACAATGCTATGCGTGGGTTTTGAAAAGTGATTCGAATTTGTCGTCAAAAGTGTTTGCCAAAAGCTCGGGCAAGAAACTTTCTTGAACAAACTCTCAGCCACCTTGTGCACCCTGCAGATGTATTGTATACCGTCTGAACTCGCCAGAGGTCAACAGCACCCAAAAAATATCTGAACCGGGGTCAATCAATCACACCTCGTAATTAAATATTCAACAAATACACACAAAAACAAGCAAAATATACATATATATTTATATATATATTACTATTGTATATTTATTATTATAGGTATAAGAACATACCTTCAGCGCTGCATCTTTATCGGGGACTATACTTTCTTTACGCCGCCTGTTGGTGGCTAAGTTGCGCACTTCCGTATTCA